ACAAATTTATGGTCTTTTATACATCAGTGCTGCACTTCAAACCTTGGGGGTTTCCTAAAGTGGAAAATGATGTCAGGAAACAAAACTGAAACATTCTTACACTGCCACTTTTATAAATACCAGTACTGGTATATCTCCATTCTTCATTCTTTACAAAAATCCTCTGTTCTATTGACTGCAACAATGGCTTCTTTACTTCTGCAGTGCTGTTTCTCTCTCTTTGCATACCTATCAATGATTCAAATCTGCTTAGGGAATACAAATTTGGCAGGAAATGTGAAGTTAGACTTGTACTATGAGAGCTTGTGCCCATACAGTGCTAAGTTCATCATGCGCAAACTCCCAGTCATCTTTGAGAATGGGTATTATGGACATCGTTGATCTTCGCCTTTTACCTTGGGGCAACGCCAAGCTTGCTTCCAATAACTCCATTACTTGTCAGGTCTAATTTCATCTACATTTGTTCCCCACTCTTTTACTTCTGATTTTTGCTAAACATTTAAAATTTCATTTCAGCATGGTCCTAAGGAATGCTTACTTAATACTGTTGAAGCCTGTGCCATTTATGCGTGGCCCAATGTGGTAATCTCTCTTATTTTTTTGCCTTCTTTTTTAATGGAAGTGAATTAATGCATTGTAATTTTCTTGAGTTTCACTTATAAGCTGCTGATTTATCTATATACTTTAATTTCTTCTACGTTTTTTTGCCTATTGTTTTCAAAGTGTATCTGTTGTGCAGACAAGTGAATGTGTTTTTGCATTCCTTTTTTCAGCAGTCTAAAATCGTGTCTTTTGGTGTAGTAAATTAATTGTTAATTCTGTAATTGAACATCTTACGTACCATGCAGATTTGACTCTTTGACAGGATGTTCATGTCCCATTTATTTCTTGTGTTGAGAGTCAGGCTTTCGCAGGCAAGTACAAGGAATGGGAAGCTTGTTTTAAGGAGTTGGGTTTGGATCCAGAACCTGTTAATATGTGTTACAAGGGTGAAGGTGGCAAACAGGTTAACCTTTTTTTGTGCTCTATCTTTGTTTCATGCAAGCTTGTCTTGTTCATGTAATCCAAGATCAACCTTCACTTTGCAATATATGCTTCCTTTATAGTTATATTCTCCTGGAGAGTATTTTGGATAGTCGGTTCGCCAAATGTGTTCCTATCAATCAGGGTCTAAAGAATACAACTTACTCCACGTCACTGACTTACTTACTCTGCTATAGTCAGGAGCCTCATGTAGGCATTTAGGTAACGGTGATAATACTTGAATGGTTTGTAGTTTATTGTACCTTCTCCTGTCAAGGCGCATATTATTAAGTTGTAGTTTTATTGATCTTGAGAAATCATATCATGGTTTATTATACCCCAGTTGTGTCTGTATCATTTTTCTACAGTATAAATTCTAATTATTTTGGGAATTCCTATATTCTGTTAATACTTAATAGCTTATCTACATTATTGTTAACAAGCTAATTAGTAGGAAAGGATGCAAGCAAGCCAAATGTATGTGCCAAGATATACTCTAGAGCTTTGCAAGCTGCATGTGCTCCCTTTATTCTTATCAGGATGTTCATGAAGGAATAATATTCTGAAACATTTTAGGGCATGCTATTAAAATTTACCTGTTTATTCAATCCTTTCTATTCTGTGAACTGTTTGGCATATCTGTAAGAACGAATAGTCATGTACACTTTTATTTGAGATTTCGAAGAATCATAAAAACAGCTGAACTATTCATATTTCTATCATGCTTGGAAGCTTGCTTTTATTCTGGAGTTGAGAATCAGGGTTATACTGGAAGTGAATAATATCACGGAAAGTCCTAGCTTCTGTTTCAATTTTCTTAACTTAAGCTAACATACATCTCTCATCTGTGTTATCCTTGATGGATCAGGTAGTTTTTATTAAATGGTATGTGACTGTAATCATTTTGACCCTGGCTAGCATTAGAACAGTAACATTCGCAGAAGAATTTTAGTTGCATAACTGCTGGTATTCAATAAACAACTTAAAGCTTGGCGAGTCTTGCAACCCCCCCCCCCCCCTTCTTCCTTGTCTGTTTTACCATTTTATTTTGTATCCTTTTTGTTTCTGCCTTGGGTTATTGGCTGAATTTAACTATTCAAATTCCATGCAGCTTGAGCTAATATACGCAAATCTAACTGCCTCGCTCAAACCACCTCATGTATATGTGCCCTGGGTAGTTGTTGATGGACAACCCCTTAAAGATGTGAGTAAATCCAATTCTGTTATTCTATTTACTGATCTTCCTTTGCTTTCTTCAGAACGATTAATAACTTTTTAAGTTATGATAACTTCTGTTGAACTTTCTATGTTATAGGATTATAACAACTTCATTAGTCACATCTGCAAAGCTTACAAAGGGCTTCCACCTACTGCTTGCGTGAAAACATCTTTAGCAAGTGCTCCCAAGGGAGGAGGTCATGCTCTCCCCATGTCTGATACGGAAAACAAACCCCAAAGACCCCGCTTCAAATGAAAAATTGGTCCTTTATAGCGTCATGGATAGATTAGATGATATAAATCCTGCTGTCATGTAAAGACAGTGTGGTTGTTTCGGTGTGAAGAAATCATTAGAGGCATATAGCTGTTATGTAATTAACGAACTTTTTATGCTGTAAAAAACTGTCAAAATTCTCAATGCTTTTTCTTGGCAGTGGCAGCAATGTTTGTTTAATGACTCCTGTGTTCGTATACCAGTTTAACACTGCAGGTTTCTTTGATTATGGAATAAGGTTTAAAATCTCAATAGTTTACTAGATTTAATAATGACTTCACCTCAACGTAGCAATATAGCAACAGCAATATTAAATCATACTCTCTCTTAGCATAAACATAAACTGGAAATGCATTTCATGGCTACTCAATTTTCTACAGTGGATGTGAAAATAGTCCGAATAATTTCCGTTTATTAAAAACATGTAGGTCGTGTGAAACTCTCTGCACGGTTGCACCTGTAGACCTATAGTTGATCTAACACGTGTAGACTGTAGAGGTTTGTCCTAAACTTTTTTTAGCTGAGGTGCACTGAAACATCACCGTTTTGGCCTGTGATGTAGTAAACAATGTCGTTATTCCATGCTGTCCGCAAAAAGTAACAAAAATAAATGCCTAAACTGATAAGATACCACTTAGTACTTACCATACATCAGTTAACAACATACAGCCCAATTTTCCGACTAGATTCACCCGGAATCTGGCCAAGTTCATTTGCCTTCATCCGCCTTATCTCAATCGGTCGAATCATCATCTTTAGCCATCAAAGAGTCCAACACGTCTTGCCATGTCTCTAATTCAATCAATAAAGACAATTACAGTTGGAAGAACTATGCTGTAATAAAAGTCAGAAAATTAGTCTCATATCCACTCAAAAAATTATAAAAAACCAGTTGAACAAATCAAACTACCTAAGCAAATATCTGAATCTTGTGTGTACTAAACTTCAAACCACAAAGATTCCTCAACTAACTCTATAAAAGTGGGCCAAAAAAATCTGAAAGATTCTCACACTGCCACCTCTACTCCCCTAACATCCACACACATCAATATAAGTAGCAATACTGATTAAATTATGTTAGCTAGTTGATCTCCGTACTTTGTAATTTCTCTGTTTTTACAAAGATGGCTTTTGTTTTGCGACGGTGTTTTTATGTTCTTGCATACTTAACTGTGTTTCAAGTATGCTTAGGAAGTCCGAATACGGCAAAAAAGGTTCCTTTAGATTTGTATTATGAGAGCTTGTGTCCTTATTGTGCCAATTTCATCCTCAATGAGCTACCCATCATATTCGAGAATGGTTTGATTGATATTGTTGATCTTCGCCTTTTTCCTTGGGGAAATGCCAGGCTCATCTCCAACAACTCTTTCATTTGCCAGGTCTGTATTCAACTATTTAGTGAAAATGAATAAGTATGAAACATCAATTGTTTAGAAACGGAATCGATGGTAGAAAATTTTTAAGACTGATTAATTATTTTGATTGATGATTTCATTTCAGCATGGTCCTAATGAATGCTTATTCAATACTATTGAAGCTTGTGCGATTGATGCTTGGCCTAATCTGGTAAATCTCTTTTGAGCTTGTAATTTACTTAGATTATGTCATGATCCTTTTGATCCATTTTATAGCAGTTGGAAGAATTGGATCTAATACGGAGTATGTAATGCAAGTATAATTCAAACCGTCTCAAATATTCTAGAGGTCTCGTACTAATTTATGACCTGAATCTAACTCTTTGACAGGAAGATCACTTCCCATTTATTACCTGCGTTGAAAGTCAGGTTTCTGAGGGCAAGTACACCCAATGGGAAACTTGTTTTAAGGAGTTGGGTTTGGATCCAAAACCGGTTACTAGTTGTTACAATGGCGAACATGGCAAAAAGGTCAGTCATCTTTGGTTCTCTATATTCACAGTTTCTTGCTAGTTTGTCTGTAATGTGATCCGAAATTAACTTACCAAGTTCCATGCAGCTTCAGCTAAAATATGCAGCTTTAACTGCTGCACTCAAACCTCCTCATAGATATGTGCCTTGGGTAGTTGTGGCTGGAGAACCCCTTCTTGAGGTGAGAACTACCAATTCTGTTGTCCTCAATACTGCCAATTTTATCTTACACTTTGTACCTATGCGCGTAGCACCCTGCAAGTATCATACACGTACACACAGGCACATGAGGTGCATGTACAACGCTGTCCAAGTGTACATTAGATGTGTTGCATCATTATCATTTCTTTCTTCAGGACAATTAGTAACTAATCCTTTTTTTTTTCTATGTTATAGGATTATGAAAACTTTGTCAGTTATATCTGCAAAGCTTACAAAGGACCTCCACCTAGTGCTTGCAAGAAAGCATCCTTTGCAAGTGTTCTGAGAGGAAAGATCGATCATTATCACCCTGTCAGCTACACAGAACAGACTGCAAAGATGCAATTCCTGGTTAATATTTGGTCTTCCATAGCCTCATGGACTGATCAAATGATATAAATCAAAATATCAAATCCTGTTATGTAAAAGACATCGTGGTGGTTTTTAAATATGTCTATTACCATGTAGGCATGTAATTGTGATGTAAATAACAACCTTGTCTGTTTTTAAGAGTGTTGTTAAATTCCGAGTTTTCTATTGGCACTAGTATAACCCTTCAAGCTTCTTTGGTGATGGGAGCAATCAATGTAATGATCCCTTTTCGAGATAAGGTAGGTTGATCAGTTAGATGTAATTCATACCAATTTCCTGCTGGTTATAACGGAATATGAGCTATAAGTTGCTTGTAAATTGATAGGGTAACATGTCCTCCAGCCAACATTGTTGCCATTCATGACCTTGTTATCTTCTTAACCCTAAATTGGCCAAGGTTCTTAATGATCTCAATAATCATCTTGCATTGGTTACCGTTACACCTCTTCACAACTTTGTATGTTTGAGTATGTCACTTAATTAGATTGAAGACATTGATCCTTTAATTTTCAAACATTTGCATTGGTTAAAGAAGTTAGATGGTTACTTTGCCTATCCAACAAGATGAATGAACAATGTGCCGCATGGCTCTTTGATCAAATGGAAGATGATGCCTTTCATTACTTTAACTAAACTTCCAATGCAAAATCTAAAGGAGTGCATAATTTCCCGTAACTTTTAGGTACACCCGAGTGTATGATAGAATTTGCTGAATATTTATCCGTCATTCTTTTGAATTTTGACCTTCACATCAGGCATTAATGAAAAATCCGCATCCAAGCATTATTTCCATTACTCCGAATACCTTTCCATAATTCCATGTACACCCGAGTCTACAATAACATCTACATCGGCCAATTAATTGGGCAAGTAATACAGGCATACAGCCCATTTCCTGAACTAGGTTCATGACCAGTTCAGAACCTGATGAAGTTTATTTTCCCTCCATTCTGTCTCTCTTTCTTCCACATTGCATATTTGCATGCAACAAAACAATCAATAAATCAATCAAAAACCCTTAAATTTCAAAATCAAAACTATATCTTTTCCAGAATCCTCAGTTCATCCAAAAATGGCGTCTCAAAATCTTCGACGAATTATCTCTCTCCTCCTCACATACCTAACAATCACCCAAATCTGCTCAGCAACTTCAAATTCTGCAGAAAAAGTGAAGCTAGATTTGTACTACGAAAGCTTGTGTCCGTACAGTGCTGACTTCATCATCAACGACCTCGCAATCATCTTCCAAAATGGTATAATCGACATCGTTGACCTTCGCCTTTTTCCTTGGGGCAATGCTAAGCTTACTTCCAATAATTCCTTTACTTGCCAGGTTTGATTGATTCAACATTTTTTTGTTTTTACTGTATAATTTTTATCGATTTTATCGAAATTGAATTTGATTAATGCTGATTTATTGGTTTTGATTGATGATTAATGGTGATTTCAGCATGGTCCTAATGAATGTTTGCTTAATACTGTTGAAGCTTGTGCCATTCATGCTTGGCCTAATCTGGTACATTTTCTTCTAATAATTTTTGCCTTTATTTTACCTAATTTATCATATACTTTGAAATTATTTGATAGTATTGCTTGGCAAAATCAAATAATTATTTCTGTTACTCGTCGATTGATGCAACTAATGTTTGATATCGCTTAATATTTCTAGTTTTAGCTCCTTACATGCACTGCAAACCTAAAGGTGGTATATAGTTCTTCGGATTATTTTTCTAATACTTTTAATACAGCTTTTAACACTTTAGAATTTGGAATAATTTGGTAGATCTGCATGAATGTGTTTGTGAAGTATTTCTTGAATTTTATACATATTTGGTGTAGTTTCATCTACTTATAGCTCACATCATTTTGCTTAAATTGTCTAGTTTGATTTTATATACTACGTATCAATGTTTTTGTTTAAATGTTTCAATTTGAGATCAAAACATCAGTTTTGGTCTAAATTTGAATTGATATGATATGGAATGTAATCTGGTGGGACTGCTGAGTTCAATAGCTGCATTTTTTGTGAAATTTGGATGGTGGGGGTTCATCTAAATACACCAATTTCGGATAATTTTGTTTAAATTTTTGCGCTTGCTATGCCAATTGTTTTGAAGTGTTTCTTATGAGCGCATGTAGATAATTGATGAGATTTGCATGTATCTTAGTCATTTTGTTTAAAGTTTGCACTCCTTTTATAAACTTGTTTCGATTTGTGTCTTCTTATATGGATGGAAGAATCTGCTTTCTGTAAAACAGTAGCTAATGTATGCTGTGGATCAAACTCTTTGGCAGGATGACCACTTCCCGTTTATTACTTGCGTTGAGAGTCTTGTTTATGAGGGCAAGTACTACCAGTGGGAAACTTGTTTCAAGGAATTGGGTTTGGATCCAGAACCTATTACTGATTGTTACAAGAGTGAAGTGGGAAAGAAGGTCAGTCTTCTATGGGGCAGAATTTTCATTGTTTCATGCTAGCATGTGTTGCTAATACAAGTATAAACCAAAATCTACCTTATTTTTGCGCATACGTTAGTTCTCAGTTTTCATCTTTAGCATGGAAATATTTGCCACCTTTAGACCAACTTGTGTTATTTACATACCTTTGATATCTATGCGTATACACAAATACAGTATGTTGTGAAATGCTGTAGAAGATTAGTCAATTGTATTCCAAATTATTTAGGGTCTAAAGCAATCAAAATTCATTATAGGTCAAAACCGTTCTTACTCCACCAGGAGCCTCGTTAGAGGCATTTAGGTAACTGCAATGGATTAAATGCTTATTCCACTCTACATGATCAATCAGTAAGATAAGGTGCTTTTCCTTTAATATTGATTTTATACAATTTAATTACTATAAAAGAACAGGAGCAGGCTTGCTGCATCTATTTGAGAGTATTGTCACATGTGTTCCGAAGTTTTTCATTTATTCTCATCAAGTGATCTATGAAGGAATTAGGAATGAAGATATTTGGAAGAAAGTTGGAGTTGCGGATATTGATCTGCGGATGATATAAGGAAGGTAAAGGGTTGGTTTAATTGACTTGATGGAGATCTCAAACGAGCTGAGAAAGATCAAAGATGATTTGGATGGAGGGAGTTAAAAAGGACATGAAGAAAGTGGGCTTGGAAGAGGATCTTTGTGGATGACCATAGGAGAAAAGTTCTCTATTCATGCTGTCAGACTCTGTGACTTTAGTAATAAGGCTTTGGTGGTGTTGATGGTGGCGTATTCTTCTATGAATGAATATTCTGATGGTTTAAAAAAAGGCTTTTATAAGAATTTACCTTTTTGTTCAGCTCTTTCTACTCTGGCTAACATTTGATATAGTTAAAGAACAATGCATACTATCTAATTTGACACATCAAGAATTAATAAAACACCTTAAATTCTCAGTTTTATAACTTTTGTAAGGTATTAATTTCATGTTATAATGTAAGTGTATGTGAGCTGTAATTTGGAGAGTCTTGCTCTTCTGTTTCGGTTTTCTTGGTATATGCTTTAATTAATCTCATCTTAATATTTATTTTTCTCTCTGTTCATCAGTGAATTATATATTATGGTCATCAGGTCATTAACGTGTGATGTACTAATGCTGGGTTCCTATGGTTCCTATCCTTGCACCCCCTCCCCCCCCCCCACCCACCCCCCCCCCCCGGGCCTAAGTCTCCTCTGTCAAGGTAGCTATTTATTTCTATTGTTTCTGCCTTCTGTTAATTGAATTTAACATATCAAGTTCCATGCAGCTTGAGCTAAAGTACGCAGCTCTAACTGATGCCCTCAAACCTCCGCATAAATATGTGCCTTGGGTTGTTGTGGATGGAAAACCGCTCCTTGAGGTGAGAAATGTCAATTATTCTGTCCTCATAACTGAAGGATTTTTTTTTTTTTTTAATTCATGAAAATGAATAACTAATTCTTGTATAAATCTCTATGTTCTAGGATTTTGAAGACTTTATAACCTACATATGTAAAGCGTACAAAGGACCAAAACCTAGTGCCTGTAATGTAGTATCCTTTGCAAGTGTTATAACAAAGAAGACTAGTCATGTTCACCCTGTTTCCTACACAGAACAGACCATAAAGGCGACACTCTTAATGAAAATGTGGTCCTTCATACAATCGTGGATGGATCTGATTATCTAAATCATGCTATTATGTAAAACATTTTTTTTTTTTCACCGTGTCAAGAAGCCATAAAGGCTTTCACGAAGTAGCGGTAATGCTGTATATAACGTTTGTTGCAGAATTTGTTTAATGCATGAATGTTGTCTATGTGAACCAGTTGTACTTTTGCAAGTCTGCGAGTTTCGTTGTGTGTGGAAGAAGGTTGTTCAAAATCTCAGCAGATATTTTTTAATTACTTCAGCTTAAATTAGCAAATGAAATTGTAATTGTAATATCTCAGATTGGCACAAACAGTCAGTGCAGTTTATTGTCTACTGGTGCTCGCATTAGATGTCTTACTTCATAACTTGGCCTAACTCAAGTCATAATTTGGTAAAGACATTGAGTTCAATCCAATCTAAACTAAACCAATTCGTGAGGAACTTATCTGGTAGTTGTATCTATACTTGCCTAAAACAGCACAAATTGATTTAGACCATTGTCTATATAAGGTTATTGATATAAATTGAATGTAAAATTAAATTAGTTGTACTAGTGTATCAAATTGTTGAACTTGAGGCTGCTGTTAACAAGGACATGGAGAATGCGGCTTCTACAAGCACTTAGATCTATCATCTATGCCTCTATGGATGTCGCTTTGTTTTTATCAGCTTGTTTGAACTGTAGCTTTTATTTCCTTAAATTAATACCCACCAACAAGCTGGGCAGTGGGCACATTAAGCTGGCATGGCAATGGTAATATGTTCTGTAAGAACTTTTAATTAATTAACTAATGGTATTGTTCTTTTTTTTTACAAAACAAAAAAAAAAAAAAAATCTTATATACTCCATGGCGTTTGCAAAATTGCAAGTTCTATTTTGGGCATTATAGCTTTGGGCCCTAGGCTGGTGCACCACCCAACCTGGGCCATGGATTCCACGTGTTGCGAGGCAGAAGCTGCAGAACCACAACTTTCATATGTTAGCGTGTTGTGAGGCAGAACCACAACTTTCACATACTTTAGCAGCGGAAATCTTTATTCAAAAAAAAAAAAAAAAAAAAAAAAAAAACAGCGAGAATCTAATTTAGTTAGAGCGCCACATGTCGCATTTTCCTCTTAGGGGATACATGGAACTTAATTGCATAATTATTTAAAAAAAAAATTATATTAGTAAAACATAGTTATTATAATATTAGATAAATATTAATAATAGTGATAAAACAAACCGTCTTTAATATGTAGTAATAAAAGCGAAAACTAGAGTACCGGCAAATAAAGTTTATGTAATCAAAATAATCTAGTTTGTCTTGATATGTTAACTCCCTCCATCCCTTATTATTTGGTTGCCCCATTGCAAATATACTTTGACCATGAATTCTTGTTAATTTATAAGTGATAATATATTCATTTGGGATCTTGTTGAAATCGTCTATAATATTTATGTAGAAATTGAGATATATACGTTTGAACACGCGTCTTGAAGATCGTGAAAAGTCAAATAGGGAAAAAATAAGGGACAGAGGGAGTAGTCGAGTATGACTAATCCATCCCATTGATTTCACTGTCTCCTGTCAAAAAAAAAAAAAAAAAAAAACTCATTGTCTTATTCGGTACCTAAAACCAAAAGTTGAGCTTTGGAGTACTAAATTAAGTACTCGTAAGAAGTAAACAAAGTATTGCTTTGAGTTGTAATAACTTGTACCCATTAAGATCTAAATAAATGAGGGGTAGAATTGATGTCCGATGAATAAAACCAAAAGAATAAAGTACAGAGTATCGCTTTATATGCTTTAAGTCACAAATCACAACTTAGAATATATCACATGCATAAAACCAGAATCATTAGCCAAAGAACTTTGTCTTTTTTGTACTCTCAAGGTAATGGTGGTCATCTGTTGAGATGAAGATATTTATTCACTAAATCACTTGTGTGGTACCCGCGTCAGTGTATGATAATATGGCTTTTACGTATGACAATAGACATCACGGTTTACTGTGCAGTGTATTGATGACATTGGGCATTTAAAAGGCAGGCTTAACCTCACTTCCGAAATACATTAGCTTAAGTGAATCTAATCCAAAATTGGTTTTTCGACATATTTTATTTATGTTGGTAATTGCAGTTATAAGTAATATAAAGTGTTGAACGAAAAATACAATATCAAAATTCGGGAAAAATATATCAATGAAAAAAACACATATATTTGTATGTGTATATATATGCAATATATAATATATAATATGTAATATAATATGATGTTTTTAGGAATTTGAAGTCATCATGCAATATTTTTTAGTTCAATTTTTTAATAGAGAAATGTATTTCTTTAATTTATTTTTTTTTAATTGAACTAGCTGAGAGATTTATAGAGGAAAAAGGAGATACATGTGAAACAGTGTAAGTGAATCTAGTTCTCAACGGGCGTTCGACATGAAATTTGCTATATTTGGATGTTTTAATTATGTGGGTAATTTCTGTTATTAGTCATGTGAATCTATTCTAAACTAGTCATTGTCATTTGATTTTGTTGGTTTATAATTTGTTTAATATTTTGTTTTCTAGCTATTGTTCTTCAGTTAAATATCAATTTTATCTGTTTTAATTCTAAATATGGAGTAGTTAGTTGTTTGTAGTTTAAAGCTAAGGTGACTTGATATATACTTTTGTCTTTTAGTTTTACCATATTAACTTGAGAGATATTCTTCCGCATCAGTCTTCTTACATTTTCTAAGTATAATTTGTTTTCTTATGATCTATGGAATTACAGAATGAAACTAATCTCACTTAGCTAATCTTTTCAAAATAAACTTTGAAAAAAGTATGGAGGGAAAATGATTTAGACCTGCTTGCATTTCAAGTTTGTGCACAGTACATACATACTCCAGTTATAATTCAAGATATTCAAGATACGAGTATTTATTACTGACACATACACCATTATTTCTAATCATAAATTACCAATATATCCACTACAAAATCATACACCATTTTTTCAAACCCCAAATTGTGAAATATTACAACAAAGTTGTTAATTGAAATACGCTTCAAGATTAAATACTTGAAACCAATAGAGTTAAGAGATCAATACCCATCTGATTCCAAATTTTCTAGGTTAATTTAAGCACAAATTAGCACTTTTTTTGTTAGATTATAATACCCTACAAAAATAATCCCAATAATTCAATACCGGTTTTGTATAATCAATTAATTAAATTAAATTCATAGTAGTAATTTGATGGTTTATAAGGAAGCTTACAATTAGGCGAGGAGGGACCTTCACTAGTAGAAAAAATAAAATGGGAAGCGGTTCAACCCCCCTAATTGGAAGCGGTTTTGAACCGCTTCCTTTTGGGGGGCTTCGCATTCTATAATTAAATTGGAAGCGGTTTGAACCGCTTCCAATTCCCATTTTTCACATGAAAAAAATGGAGAATTGGAATCGGTTTTGGCGCCAAACTGCTTCCAATTCTCCAGTTTTTATTTATTATTAATCGATATAAAATTATTTATTAATTATTAATAAAATTAATATTATTAATTAATCATAATATTAATATTACAAACAATAATACAATGATATATATAACACGAAATAATTATATATATTAAAATTAACATCATTAATATATTCAATGAACAATAATATTTAATCACACCAAAATATATTAAGATAACAATTACAAATACTACGTATTTAATTACACCAAAATATTACAAACAATTAGTCAAGGGCAAAAAAAAAAAAAAAAAAAAAAAAAAGAAAAGGGAACCCAGGCAGGTGCACAACAGCCCAGGCAGGCTGCACTTAGGAAATACTTTTGAGCATGGCTAGCCACTTGAGTCGGGGTCTTTGATATAACAAAGTTCCGTGATATGTTTCTCCAGTCTCCTTTCCCATGCTTCTGAAGTCCAAGCAGAAACCGCCTGCATAACTCATTGTTAATAACTCAACATTCTCACAATATAAATTACTAACATATCATATCCAACATAATTAAGGACATACTGCAGATATCAGACTTTTACAACAGAACTTGCTAACCTAATGCCAACCCTATGGAACAACAATCTCATAGTCTAAAAAACACATATCAGTACTCAGTACATAATTCGTGCATTCGCATACAAACCAGTGCATACGAAGTAACACGGATATTTCACGCAGTTTAACCTATTCAGTAATCACTACTAGACTCCAGTCCACAGCTGTAAAATTTCACTATCGAATTTCATTGACAATCACAGAAATAATCAGTGAAAGAAACGTGATTTATTTAACTGATGTTACCTGTGTTCATCCTCAATCCAAGGCACACCCTTTTTCCTTTCTTTTTCATGAGGCCTAGAGATAGACATAGACATAGCCATAGAAGCCGCAGACCTCTTCCTAAAAGGATCAAATTTGCCATTATCAACCCACTCCAAAGTGAAGGGACAAGCAAGATAGCCAGGAATCGGAACCAAGCCGGCTTCGATATCGGTTACATCTTCCAACAATTCTTTATACTGTTTCATCGTTGTTTCCAACGTCTTCAACTAATTTTCTACTCCGATCATCCTCTCCTCTAATGAGAACCTTTTTTTTTTATTTTTTTTTAAGGGAAAAGACAACCACCAGCAGACAGCAAAAAAAAAAAAGCAAAGCAGCATACCCGGCTACTGACAGGAAAGGAAGACTCAGGCGAGATAGACTCTTCCGATCCGAATCACAGACTGCACCAGCCCACAACAGACTGCTGCCTGGCCTGGGCTACTGCTTGCCTGGGCTGCTACAGCTATGCTTGGCCTGGGCTGCTGCCTGCCTGGGCTGCTGCAGCTGCCTGGCCTGGGCTGGTGCCTGGCATGGGCAGCCTGCGTAGGCTGTTGCATAATTAAGATTCATAAGTCACCAAACATAGTAACATACTAGTTACCAAATTGATCGACGCTAAACAAAAAATTAAAAAACCCCATATATTCTGACCTTATCAATACTTCAAAGGTTCATAATAAGCAAGCAAATTGGATCATTTTACTTTTTTACTTGGTATTTATTTTTTATAAAGCTAGTTAAACACAGAGAACCAAACTACCCAAGGAAATTCTTCACTAGAAGAGATTTGATTTACCACAAGCAACAAAACTCAAACATAATATAGTTCATAATTAGCCAAAGCCAAAAATAGAGCTCTTAATAGGTTAAATGGCACTAAATAAAAATCATATACCAACAATGACAGAGCAGAACTGAAAATTCAAGTACTTGATCATTCAACATTACATATAATAGAAGTAAAATTTTGATTGGAAAATTTATCAAAAATTGAAAGAAAGCATAACCTGAGCGGCTGAGCCTGAGATGTTTGATTTTGCAAGGCTGATCTACAAGCTTGGGAATTCATCATGATAAGTGAAGTCATACACCAATAGCTTGATTCATCTGCAATCATGATAGATTCATCTCAAAGTACAATATTGCAATGAAAGAAAGTAAGACTCAAAACCCAATTTCTGCCTTATTTTTATATGGGTGACTCAATAAAAGTGAATAGATTTCTTCCTACATTAATCAAGAGAAAATATCCAAAAAGGAAGTTCCCAGTATCCCACTAACATAAATTTCTTAAAACAGAGCTAAAAGTGTCCAGATTTATTTAATAAGAAACAAAACCCAATAAATTCTAATACTTGTACTATGATTGGGTGATTATCAATTACAGTAAACCCTAAAGATCCAGACTTTAAATAAAATAAACTAATAAATTACAACTTTCACTATACCAACAAGAAGATAGCCAAAGGTACTACCACCACGAGTCTACAAAGTACGACACCAGTTATTGCGACACATACATGATAAATGCAGAATGAATGATAATAAATTCAATAATTAATATCAATTAAACAGAAAATCAGAAATAATAATCAATATCAATTAAACAAAAATTATAGGGCTCAACTACTCAACTCAAATAGTCAAATATCCGGTCACAACTTCAGTTTCTAGAGGAAAAATTCCCGAATCGGCTAATTAAAACCAATCTTCAGTTTCTAATCGGCTAATCATATTAAAATAAATCATTTGGGACTTAAAAATTATAATGAAGACAATTAGACAAAACTATAACTAAACACAGTCAAAAGACTCAAAACCAATCTTCAATTTCTACTTTTTTAGACGAAATTGTTTAGTTTAAGCAAACAAAATGATTATACAGATAGCAAGTACTTTATTTGAGCACAAATTCCACATAAATTAAGCTAATTAAACTTCAAAACAATCCTTATTCACACAAAAATCAGCTAATCCTGACTATCCATTAGTAGATAACAAAACCCCTTCAACTTTCCGAGCAAAAACTGGCACAAAACACAAATTTAAACAAAAATGACATAATTAAATCAAATACAGAAAACCTACATCAAAAATCCCCAAATCGTAAATTAAATTAGGCAATTAGCAAATGAAAAACACACATGAAGCCAAACACATTCAAAATTCTAGCTACTTTGCATATCTATATGCACAAATCGAACCTCACCATCGCTGCTCTCCACCACCACCAACAGTTACAAATCGAAACCCTAGAAATAGAAAAAAAATCAAAGATTTGAACTAGTAATTATGCAAAGAAACCTTAAATTTGAAATTTAAAGGGGAAAGTTTAAAGAAGCTCATACCATGAACACCACACAGTCGTTATCTCTCACGACCACCATGACCATTAGTGAATGAGGAGGGAGAATGAAAGGGGAACGCGAAATGTGGTTGCAGCTGCGGCGAGGAGAAGGTGAAAGGGGAACGCGAAAATGAAGTTGCGACCTTCATCTTTGAGGAGAAGGTGAGAGGGAAACGCGAAAATGAAGGAGTGAGCTGAGTTTGAAGTATTTATTTGATCCCGCTTTTTTTTTTAGAAAGGGCAGCGGTTTGAAGTTTGAACCGCTTCCCATTATATTTTTGGGAGCGGTTCAACTCAAACCGCTTCCAATTCTATCCTTTTTTTTTTCTTTTTTGCCGGGAATTTTTGTAAGGAATTGGAAGCGGATTTCAATAACCGCTTCCAATTTGTGGCTTCCCATCACCTTTTTTCTTCTAGTGCTTGAAGGTGCAGAAGATGAAGAAGAAGCGAAGAGCAGTGAGCAGCACTGGAGGTCTGGCCGTCTGGTCCGCTGACCGCTGGTCGTCTGTAGGTCTCGTCTCACGGAGTCGGCTGCCGGCGGAAATGCGGGATTTGGGTGAAGATGAAGAAGCGAAGAGCAGCGGCAGCGGGGGCTAGGGCTTGAGGAAGTCGGGACTCGGCAAGTCAACAGGCTGAAGTTAGAATTTTTTATTTTTTTTATTTTTTTTTTTAAAAAAAAAAAAAAGAAAACTTAGAATTTTTTTTGGGCCCTGGTGAGTCATTTGCCTCACCAGGCACAAGGCCCAGTCCGCCACTGAATTATATTGCTGCTCATTCCCTTAGTACCTCATTTCTCTCAACATCCCCACTAACACATTGCCCTGCTCCTCCAACCCACTATTACCTCATTTCTCTCAACATCCCCACTAACACATTCCCTTGCTCCTCCAACCCACTATTACCTCATTATTACTTAGTATTGTACTACTAAGTAAATTCAATTTTTATTTTGAAAATAAGCTACAAACTACCTACATTTTGTCGCGAATTGAAAGATGTTTCCTCCTGCCGACGCACTAGTAGAATACTTAACAAAGAAGTCAACCGAGAGTATAGGCTTAAATACTTATAGGATTGACTTATATCTTAGCCAAGAATCGAGAAAAGAAGGTAAGGGTTATACGTATTGTGATGAATATATTGTTGCGATGTATTTAGAATATCTGCCTAGGGAAGAAACTTATTTACAAGTTATAAATTCGTACCCTAAACTGTTTTGTTTACTTGACGGGACACCCAATATAAATTATTTGGGTGACCCGATTGAAAGAACATTCCTCTTATATAGGGATGTTTTGTTTAAGCTTGATAAGGCAGAGAAATTATGGAAAAATGAAGAGTTATAAATATAAGTAGAGACGATAGTTACTCTAGTACTGGTTGGTCACCTCCGGGTCGTGATCATGTCATGGGTAATGTAGCAGCTTTTGTGCCTATAGAAGGAGGTGTTTGTTTGGGCGTAGTTATTAGAGACGAGTGGGGAAAGCTGCTACTAGTGGTTACAAGGTGGACAAGCTGCCACTGGGTTCCTGAGATGACAGAGGCTACAACAGCTCGGCACGGGGTGAAGCTTGCTAGTTACGTTGGCTATCATAATGTTGTGCTCAAATGCGAATTTTTGAATGTAGTGCAGGCAATCAGACAGAAGATCGAGGGTGATGCTCCTATTTTCCACATCTACAAGGATATTAGTAGAATATGTGATGGTTTTCTTAGTTTCAATTGTATTCATGTTTGCCGGGCAAAAAATACTATTGCTCATTTAGCAGCCATATTTGAAATGGACTCTGTTATGAATGTATTCATTATGTCATCCCTTAGCGTATTGTTATTTGTTATTTAATCTTGTAATTAAATTTTAAATTATGGAATTCGGTGGTATGTTAATGTTATTTGCAATTTTCACGAGATTTTTTCAATTTAGGGTTTTAGTTTTTGTTGTTTGTCACGTGTCCTATTTTATTTCTTCTCGATGTACTAGTTAAACACAACAAATAAAAAAATTAAAACACAAACGAGAGGGAAAGAAAATTACCAACGTCAATAAACGATGACGAATCTAAGTACAAACCAATATTGTCAATTGATCTGACTCATTTTTTTGAAAAAAAATATATAATTGTTACAAAACTATTAATTTAACATTAAATTATTTAGTATGAGAACATTATCAGACAAATTTAAAATAATTTATCAATACACATAATTTATATTAGTTAAATATGTGCAATATAATATGTAATAACCCGTATTTTTATACGTATTTTAAATTTAAATAAATATTTCTTGAAGTATTTAAACAATATAAAATAAATTATTTAGGGTTTCTTCAATACAAAAAGAATGATTTTAATTAAAAATATATTTTATTATTTAATAATCTTGAAAATGTTGGATTTTATGATTTAAAATATTGGGGCACATTATTTTATATTAAATAATTTAAAAAGACAAGTTTTAAAGAAAGTCAAATCCTAATCCGATTAGGAAAGGGATTATTAAGGGAAGTAAGTAGGAGGGCTAAGAGGGAGTATAAATACTCCTCATGTGCCTAGGGTGAAAATTCACCTAAAGGTACGTTCTCTTTCTCCCCTCTTATTTTATTTTTCCTTAATTTTCCCCTTCCCCTTTTATTTATTAATTTATTTATTTATTGTTTACACCACCACCACCACCACACACACCGGCCACCACCACCAACCTTTCCCGATGGCAGAAGCCAACAGGCAGTGTGGCAGCGGCGGCCAGGTGGTTGCATATTGTGTATTCTCCGTTCGTAATTTTCTTAATCTCGATGTAATCACGATTAAATTCTAACTCGTCCGATTTATTTAAAAAAAATAGTGTTTTTCGTGTGTAAACAGTATTCTAAACAAAAATCACCACCTATGGTAGTGTGTACCACCCGTTCGTGGCCAAATTCAGCCTTTAAATATGGTTTTCGGGCAGTTTTTTATTTTAACGAAAGATTTATGTTGCTTTTCTTATTTTAATTAAATCTACCCTAAATCTAATTATTGTTTTGGGTTTTTTGATGATTATTAGGATGTTTAATAACAAGTATTTTAATTATAATTTTTAGATTTGGTTTTTAATTAAAAAGCCCCAAGATTGGAAACCCTAGGTTTTTAAATTAATGTTTATGGATGGAATTTGATTGTGGTTGATTGAAATTATTAAAATTAATGTTTTTAAACCAAATTACAGAAATTTTATAAGTTTTAATAATGCTGTAATTTTGTGTTAAAAGAGTATTAATACTTCTTTTATAATTGTGGTTTATAGGAGAATTCCAAGTGAGCGATTTCGTGTAATCGTGGCTATTTTAAGATCATATTCAAGGTACGTTCGCGTACTTGGTAAAGTTTAAGTGTATAGAAGCATGCTAGGATTTGTTAAATTAATTCCAAGTAGTATCATGATAGGTGTTGGATGGAATTTGTTGATTGGATTGATGTTGGTGAATGATTGGTGATGTATGATTTATTTATGGTGAATTAATGATTGGAATTAATGTATTGGCATGTTGATTATGAACCATACTTTTATTATTGGCATGTTAGAAAGCATGTTTGGTTAAACTGGATGTTTATCTTGGTTTGGATTATGGAAGAGGAATTTTATTATGGTTCATATAATTTTTATTGA